AAACTTCCAGAGAAACCTCCAAATTTTCCTTAATACTTAATATACACATTAACTTGGTTGAATCTTCCAAGAAACTAATCTGATTATTTTCCAAAGCTGCACAACCCTCTCGCAATTCAAAGTAAAATCACTGATTTTATTTTGGAAAAAAAAAAATCGGTTCTACAAGAAGGTATTTTTCTTTAAAACAGCAGGTATTAGCTTGTTTTAATTAGATAACATTAAGTAGATATTTTTCGCCTTATATGCTAAAATTTTCAACGCAGTTTATTGTTGCAGTTCTTTCAATAAAAATCATTTGCTTTAAGCTCAGCAGAGCGGAAAAACAAATTACGTAAACGGAAGGCTAAGCACTCTTAAAACAAAGCAAATAAAGCTACTAAACCGTATCGGCGAACAAGAGTGGCTCATTGAATATTATATGGATGAAATAACCAGCATAAACGTGCAGTGAATGCTCTTTCTCACACAGACAAAGTGTTATTTACGAGTGTCTTTGTGTAAAAACAGAAATGGCCGCCGGAAACCTTTTGATTAGTTACAAGTAGAGCAATAGGTATCCCTTAGGTTTAAAATTAAAACCGTCTGCATTTCTTTACTATTTTTGCTTAAGTTGTTAATTCCAAAACATCTTTTTAAGTTATCTAATTTTAAAAAAAGAACATGGTTAGCACTGTATTCGTACTACATTGTAGTATGCCCTCAACCTGAGAGTTTGCCCTTTTTAGCTCAGTTTTTCGGTGCTATATTAGTATTTTGTTCTGAAGGTTATGCACAGTTCAGATAACACTGGTACAGGTCATCAAAACGTAGTTTTCTTTGAATTTTCTTGCAGGTCAAATTGAAAAACCTAATTGGCCACCTGAAAAGTCATGGTGGTCTGTCAGTCTTTCACACACCCCCTTTTTCTTAAATTGGGTAAAAAAATTTAGTCTTTTTTCCAGAAGGAGTCAAATAAGAATAAATTCTCCATTAGCATTTTTTCGTTAAGGAAATTCTCAGTGATACCCTTTACGATGATTACTTGAACGGTTAATGGTATAAGTGATCGTGACAAATGTGTTACTTAGCAACGGCTGCTAATGACAGTGTTCTCGGCTTACTCCGTTTTGAAACTGGGGAAATATTTCTACGATGTCTTCGGATTTGTGTATTTTTTTTTCTCTTTTTTTGTTTTTTTTTCTTGTTTTCTTTTTTAATGAATTAGAGAATCCAATCTTGTACATCAACTTTTCTAAGGATCATTTTAAGTTTGACGTTATGACTATGGTCTCCTCTTGAAGGCTCGAACGTTGTTCCATAATCACCGATTTCATTTCTTCTACAAAGTCGTAAAAAGGGGCAAGCAATTTCCATGTATAGGGTTAAAAGAGCCACGAACAAACTAGCCTGTGCGCAAGGCCGAGACAGTAGGGACGCGAAAATAAAACAACCCAAATGCATAAAAAAAGTAAAACAAAAATAAATAAAACAAAACAAAACAAAAAGATAAAAAAAAAGACTTGCACGATCTGGTGAATGAGGTGGTGGCGGCCAAAAATAAGACCTTCCTCTCCCCAGATCCCGCACGTTTTTCTTATCACTTTTTACCGCACGACTGCACTTCTATCTTGCAACCTGGACAAGGCTACAAACGTACCCTCTATATAAAGGCACATAATCTATAATGGAAAATCCTCAGAAGAAATTTTACTTGGCAAAATGACCCCTTATCCGCATCCTAAAACAAGTTACATATCCC